ATTTTTTAATAAAAAATTAAAAATTTTCAATTTATGAATTATAAAAACAATATCGTTTTTTTACGGTTAAAAAGGGTTAAACCCCATTTTGGTCCCTCAACTATTGTATGGACCCTGACTTAGTCCCTCAACTCAAAAAAATCTTTGATTTGGTCCCTACTGTTTACCATTTTTATCCCAATTTAGTCTCTCCGTTAAAAATCCAGTGACTTGTCCCATTAATTAACTGAAGCATGATAACATGTCAAAATAACATGACACATCAGATGCACGCATGAAAAAAAAAATGACAATATGAGAAAAAGTGATGAAATGGAAAAAAAAAAAATAATATATCAAAAAAACTTTAAAAATTATTCCTTTTTTTTCTTTCTTCTCTTTCCCTTTCTTTTTCCCTTGGAACCCAACGCTTACTGGGTTTGATGGAACCCAGGCGTCCTTCTGGATTCACAAGAACCCAGCGCCTAGGTTCCAAGGAACCTAGGGCATGGGTTCTTTCGAACCCAGAAGGATGCTTGACTTCTCGGGTTCCTCGAACCCAGGAGGATCGTTGGCTTCCTAGGTTTGAAAAACTCAAGCGTTGAGTTCGTTCGAACCCAGGAAGACACCTGGCTTCTTGGGTTCCTTCGAACCCAGAAGCTGGGTTCCTTCGAACCCAACACGCTTGGATTCCTTCAAACCCAACACGCTTGGGTTCCTTCGAACCTAGCACACCTGGATTCGAATGAACCCAAGAGCAAAAAATTTTTTTAAAAAAATTTTTTTTCTCTTTTTTTTTTTTATGGATTCTTGCTGAGGAACTGGGAAAGCTCTGTTGTTCTAGGTTCAAATGGGAAGGAAGGGGGAGAAGGGTTCAGGCTTTGCAGGAGGTGGGGCCCACTTTTTTTTTGTTTGGTTTTGGGTCAGAATCATGCTACCATATCATCTTTTTTTCCAAGTGTGCATATGAGGTGTCACTCTATTTTGACACGTCATCATGCTTAAGTTAATTAACGGGACACATCACTGGATTTTTAACGGAAGGACTAAATTGGACTAAAAATGATAAATAGTAAGGACCGAATCAGGAATTTTTTGAGTTGAGGGACCAAAATAGGGGGTTAACCTTAAAAAAAAAACTGTAAGTAATAATTTCTAATTGAGCTAGGGAACCGTAGTGGAACTAACGGAATCTGTTAATTGAGGGGCAATCTTCACTGATTCTAGCGTTCAGGGGTTTATAAGGCTAAATGTTTGTTTAAGGGCTTATGGGCAAAAATGGAGTAGATTCAGGGATTAACATAGGGTTTGCCCTTTATCTTCTTTTTTTTTGGGGGTGTGGTGTGTGGATGGGAGATCGACCAGTCCTTAAGAAACCCAATGAACCATTGGGCTCAACCTAATGGTTCAATCAAGTTTAACCTTTTAAAACTGTCCCCCTTTTTTTTGTTTTGTTTTTTTTCTTTATAGGATAAGGTAA